CACTGGCTGGGTTGGGGAAAGCCAACAATGGCTAGAATGTAAGAGGCAACACTGGCTGTTTTGGGGAAAGCCAACAATGGCTGCACTGACAAAGCCAACAGTGGCTGGGTTGGTGAAAGCCCACAATGGCTGGAATGGCAGGGCCAACACTGGCTAGATTGGGTGAAGCTAGAAATGGCTGGAATAACAAAGCCAACAGTGGCTAGGTTGGGGCAAGCCAACAATGGCTGGAATGACAGGGTCAACAATGGCTTGTTTTGGGGAAAGCAAGCAATGCCATCACACTACCCACCCAAAGCTTGCCAGTATGGCATGCAAACATGGCTGCATGCAAAGAAAAGTGTGGAAGGCACATGCTCCAAGATGCATGACAATGAAGGAATAAGATGCAGGAGTCCTGGTTGTCAACCTGGTGGTCTCCCCAAGCGCTTTCTTGAGGCTGGTCTTCCTGGTTGACAGCAAGTGGCAGCAACTCAAGCTTGCACATGGAGAGTTGGCTTGCCTCCCACTCCTCCCACTGGCGCTAGTTGGACCAGCCCTGCCAGCTCTCTTGCTTCCATCGTCTCCAGGATTCCTCAGACTGCCAGCTCTCCTGTGCAATGGGGCAAAGCAAGCTGGAAAATGAGGAGTGTGCCAACTGCCTTCTCCTCATCATGCTTGGCCCAATCCTGCCACCAGAAGCTATACAAGCTGTCATTCAGCCTTCAACCTTGCCAGGTCACCTCTTCTTTTGGTGCAGCCCAATCCCAATCCTGCACAAGAAGGTGCAATTGGGTTGCCCCAAACAGCAAGCTTCTGCAAGTGTCAAGCCAAACAGGGGCTGCCTCCCCTCCATAGACAGCTTCTTCACAAGCTTCCTGGCAGAAAATGAAAGCTGCAAAGCTGGCCAACCAGAATCAAACAAATGTTCTGCTGCCCTGCCTTGCCCTCTTGGCTAGCCTGGCAGCCAAGTACAACAAATGCCCAACAAGTTCCAGATAAAAAGGTAAGCATTGCAGCCTCATCTTTTGCCACAACCTGCCAGCATTGGTGCAAACAAACCAATCTGCTCAGCCACAAGGCTTGCCTGATACCATTGAACAGGAGAATCCTTGTTAAGCAACCCTCCATGCCCCAAACAAGCCTCAAGGCTAATGAAGGGGAATGTTACACAAGCAAGAATGCAACTCAGCCATGCAAGCCATAAGCACACCTGCACAGAAACCAGTTCCACCCAAACACAAACCTGGCCTGCAGGTAATCTGGTGGCAAATCTTCTTCTCGCGTCTGAAAAGCAGGGAGGATCACCAACAACTCAAAGGTGCTTGAGTCAGGCCCCCACCCTTTTGACAAGGCCTGGAAGGACATGTCTTCCTCCTGAACACAAGTGGGGGCAATTGCAAGACTGCTGTGTTTGAAGCCCTGCCTCTGCTTCACAAGCCCTCTTCATGGCTGATTGAATCGGAAAAAAGCTGCAAACCATGTGCATGAGAGCAAAGCAGCAGCCCAACATGAACACCCATCTCATGCTTAGCATGTCAAAATGTGTGTGAAAGCAGCCAACAAGGGCTCTATGGCAACCAATGCTGTCAAGCCAACAGCCACATGGGCTGGGAACCCTTTCAACAGCGCACGCTGGCAAAGCCCAACCTGAAGCCCATGTGCATCAAAACAAAGACAACAGGATCTTGCTTAGCATGGCACAAATGGGCTGCAGGAACCACTGGCTACAGACAATGTAACACAGCCCAATATATACAAAGCCCAACCTGAAGCCCATGTGCATCAAAACAAAGACAACAGGATCTTGCTTAGCATGGCACAAAACAGGAAGCGCAGCCCACTGGCTATGACAATAAGGTAACACAGCCCAAAGGCTACATGCTTATCATGGAACAAAAAAAGTAACACAGCCCACAGGCTGCTTATCATGACAAACAGAAAGGGAACACAGCCCAAAGGCTACTGCTTTATCATAGAACAAACAAAGTAACACAGCCCAAAGGCTACTACTCACCATGGCTAGCAAAAGATAACACAGCACAAGGCTACTGCTTATCATGGAACAAACAAGGCAACACAGCCCCAAGGCTATACTGACTACCATGGCACAAAAAAAGGCAACACAGCCCACAGGCTACTGCTTATCATGACAAACAGAAAGGCAACACAGCCCAAAGGCTACTGCTTATCATGGAGCAAGAAAGATAACACAGCCCACAGGCTACTGCTTACCATGGCACAGAGAAAGGAAACACAGCCCAAAGGCTACTGCCTTATCATGGAACAAACAAAGTAACACAGCCCAGAGGCTACTGCTTACCACGGCACACAAAAGATAACACAGCCCAAGGGCTACAGCTTATCATGAACAAAAAGCAACACAGCCCACAGGCTAGTGAATAACACTGGACAAAAAGGGGCAACACAGCCCATAGGCTATTGCTTATCAGGACAGAGCTGCTGGCTTCACAAGCACAAAGTTAATACCCAAAGTTTGCCACACATGTGCACAGCTGTGCACCAAGCACGGCCCCATGCAAGGCACCAAAGTCTGCGTATAGCACAAGTGTGTCACAAGGGAGTGCTGCAGCCCAAAGGCTTGACCAGCCCTAAGGCTTGAACAGCCCTAAGGCTTGGACACACCAAAAGTTTGATCACTTTGCATGCAACAGTTACATTGCGGCCCACAAGTTTCAACCTGCACCTTTTCCATTGGCTGATGTGCTCAGTCTTTTCTGTATTTGCCAGTCAAATTGTAAGACCTTTTGGTGGCAGTCGCCTCTTGGTCAATATCACCAGATCGCAGGTGCATCAAAGTGGCATACAACATGTCCTTGTCCAACTGCACCATGAGGTCAGAAATGCATGCCCTCTTGGCTGGGCACAAGATTGACACAGGCACACCAGCCACATTGACTTGCACAATCTGCTCCTTGAAGCAAACCTTCCTTTTCTTGTTGGCATGGCCATCTTCTTCTCCATCAAACAAGCTTGCAGAGCTTGCTTGCCCAGACTGCTCAAGCAATGCATTGTTCCTCATGGCTTTGAGGTCAGTGAGCTTCTGCAAGTTGGACAATGAAGCATTTCTCACAGACTTGCCACAAACCAAATGCACCACTGCAGGGCTGGTAGGCCGCAACTTGAGATACTGCCTGCCCAAAGAGTCCTGCATGCAGCCATTTACAAAGTGGCTTGCATGCTGGAAGGCATTTTTTTGCAACTTGCATGTCAGTCCTCCACTATCAGCTCATCAGGGATTGCTACAGGCCGCCCTTCATCAACTGTGGTCTCCACCCTGTGGGTGATGGTCAAAGGCATTGCGCATAATCTTTGAGCCAGCTCATGAAAGCAGGGCCAATGGGTTCCAACAGCTGGTGCACTCAGCCATGTGGCTCCAAGTTTCAAATGTCAGCTTGGCCACAGGGGCTTGCCAGGATAGCTGGGATGTGCACACTGCAGGTCTGCAACAGCATGGAAGCTCCTTGCAGGCCCACAAGCCAGCATCCTCCCAATGGCTGACTACAAAGGCATGCTCTGCATGATAGCTGCCAAAGCAAGCTGCTTGCAAGCTTTGCCTAACTGAAATGAACATGCACTCCAACAGCAGTTTTTGCAACACCTAAAGTGTATAACTTCAGCTGAAAAAGATAGCTAACTGTTAGCTAACTTTCTTAATTGCTTGGCTAAGTGGTTAAGATAAAATAACACATCTATGATAGTTTACTAACAGTTACATTTGTTAGCTAAGCTTGTTAAGCATCTTAAAAAGTTAGACAGCTTATAAGAGGTTAAGACATACTTAACATATGGTTAGGATACCATTAACAAGCTGTTGGCTAAAGCTCTTAAGGCTGATAATGTGTTACTAAAGCCACAGCCCATCTAAGCAACCGATGAAAGGCCAAACGGTGGTCGGGTTGGCGCCTTTTTTCCCCAACAGCTGAAAGCTTTGGGATCTCAGCCCAGATAGGCTCCGGAGAATTTCCGGGGCGGCCGGTTCCACGAGGGTTGAGCACTAAAAAGAGCACCGCATGCTGTTGGGGAAATCACCTGAGCCGGTATCACCTGAGCCTAACTTCTTTTTTTCTTTTTTTTTTGGGGGGGGGGGGCGTGTTTTGGCGGGCTTGTAGGAACACCAAAAGGCGCACCCACCTATTCTTGGAGGGTGCCCCGAAAACAAAACACGCCCATATATTGCCTACATGGAGTATGTGGGCATCCAAAGGCGAGTTGAGAATTGCCGGATTGCCTTTGAATATTCAGTGTTTGGAGCATTCCTGGGGTGATGTTCCTTGCATTTCCCAAGTTTGCTTTCTGCGAAAGCGGTCCGACACCACAAACCTCCACAGCAAAGCAAAACAACTTAAACCACCAACGACACAACCCCAAACCAATCTGAGTCTCTTTTTCGAGGGTCGCCCTTTTTTGCTGATTGGGTCCCGAACCCAAAGCCAAAACAATTCCTATTGAAACTTGGACACTGCAGGAAATTCTGCTTCACGCCAACCCCAAGCCAAAAAGGGCTCTGTTTGCATCCAAGACGGGCACCCATAAGGGTCCTGTGTCTTTTTGAGGGTACTGCTTTTTTGTTTGCTGCGGGTGTTACAGGAAAACTGAAAGGCAATCCCACCTACTCTTGAGTTGCTTCCGCTTTTTGGTGAGTTTGGAAAGCCCACGGGCAAACCGCCAAATTTTGTTGGGGGCACATCCAAAAAATGACACACCCAAAACCATGTTGCTTAACAACATGCCACACGGCGAAATGGCGGCATGCTGGGTCGGTGTGGACCAGCCAGCCTGGCCAGAACCTTCCTTAGGCCATTCAACGGTACTGTGAATGGGCAAAATCCTGCACCACTTCGATACCATGGTCTAACCCGTTATTTGCGGGGTACTTCCAAGTGATAAGAAACCAGGCTCTCTGAAAGGTGGTGTGGAATGGATGTCGCAACCCTCCACAGGGCTCCCCCGGTCCAAAATTCGCCCAAATTCGCCCCGAGCCATCTAAGGCCCCCTGCCACCTGCACCAGCACCGCCGCCGGCAGGGGCACCGGGGCCTCGCTGGCGGAGGCCCGGCCCGCCAGCCGCGCCGCGACCTCAACGTTGGACGCGTTGCAAGCCATGCGTTTGGGTCCTGGACCCGTCCGTTCGGTTGCGTTGGGCGGTTTCAGTGAGATTTGTTTAAGGGGTACTCCGAAAAGAAGACTTTCTGATTGTGTTTGTCATTTAGCCTGGCCCAAAATCTAAATCACTTTTGGAGGAGACCCCAGTTTCGAAGTTGTTTGCAGGGACTTAAAGTTGGTCTAAAGTTTCAAGTGTTTTGAGGCTTGTGGTCTTTTGAGATGCCCTGAGCACCTGAAGGGACCCTCCAAGGGATCAGGACCGCCATTGGACTCTCCCCTAGCCTGTTCTTGTCCTGGCTCCGATTGTGGCCCAAATCCGGGTTACGCCAAAGACCAGGCATGCCTAGACATGTCGGTGCTGAGATTTGTGGAAATAGCTGATCCTTCCAAAAGCCCAAAACATGCTACTATTCCAATCAGATGCGCCCAACAAACATGTCCAAACAATGACCCGCGAAAAACAGAAGAAGCAATTGATCCACCCACGAGTGGGCATATTTGATTTGTCCCGAAAGGGGGGAACTGGTTGATACTTCCCAGTGGACATATATGACCGCCCGAAAGACAACAAAACAAGGAATAGTTGAGCCTTCCCACATTCACAATTTGACCCCAACCCCAAAAGGGGAATATCGAGAAGTATGTGGCATAATTATACCGATCCGGCTCAGGATCCCCGATGGCAACTCTGAGCTGCGGTGCGTAGGCTTTGCATGAGCGGACACAGGCCTGGGGCGAGTTGCAAAGGCGTGGGCGGAGATTTCCCTCCCTCCCCCAAAACAAAAAAAAAAACAAGAGGGATCCGGGATGTTTCGTAAGAAAGACTACCAGAACTGGTGGAAGGCTAAATCCACTTCGAAGTGACAAGCAAAGCCTGGCATTTTTCTGGGTCCATCCAATGTCGGACTCTCTACCAACTCAACTGCCAGGGGCTTGATTGTGTCTTACCTGAGGCCTGTTTGGAAGACTTCTAGCCTCATGCATCTTTGCCTGCTTCTTAGTGCCCATGAGGAGGCCTCATTTTGCGACAGTTGGGCACGCATCACGCATGTCTCCAAGACAACACATGCGTGTGTCTTTTTTGGGGGGCACCCCCGAAAATGGCGGTGGTTTCTCGGTTTCCCTCTGCACCCCGCCGAAAAGGGGCAGCCTCCAAGAAGACAGACCCATGACCCACACCTGCCCAGTGGCCACTGGAAAACTGAGCACCCTCCATTTGGTTGGTAAAGCAAGCCCCCTCCAAATATGGACGCCAAGGGGAGCCCACAAAAAGTGGTGTGCCTTTAAGCCCCTGGATCCAAAAAGACGCCCAGCTGGAGTTTCCGACGGATGTCTGGGCCCCCCGACCACGCTGTATGGCTCCAAGCAGGACCATGGGATGCCGCATTTGTGAGCCACCTGCTTCGGGAAATCAACCCACTTAGCAAGTAAATTGTTACTGGAGTAACTGGGCTTAGTTGGCTTATTATAATGGTTTTGACCTACTTACTAAGTAGGTTGAGCTGAAATCCATTCATTCTTCAAGGGGTCCTTCTTTCAAAAACCGATGGCCGTTTCCAGCAGGTTTGCGGAGGTTCTCTAAAAGGAAGGATCCCTGAAAAGAAGGGGGAAACGGATGTCAACGGGACACCACCCCTTATTCGAGGCTTCCTATATCTTGAACCCCCCAAATAATAAGTACAGGCATAGCGACATAACTCTCTTACATGCGTTTGACTTACAAAGAAGTTGCAGCATCTTAAAAGCCCATTCTGACTAATATGTACCTTGCAGCTTCCTCCCCCGGCACGAACACCGGGTATTATGCACAATGATCGCTGGTTTATGGCAGGTTCTATTTGTTGGAATGGCCCCCTTTATGGATATCTTGCCACTCCTAGGTCCCTTCGCCTCGGACCTCAGTGTAGAGCGGCCCCCTACATTGGGCAACCCTCAAGAAAGGTACCCGGCCCTAGTGCTCAAAGTGACATCCTCAAGACATGAGTTTAAAGATGTCCTCCCTTCCCCCGAAGTAGCTTGTAGAACCCTTCACAACAAGGATGCATCCAAAACTCCGCATCTGCTGCAACCAACATGCCTCGCCACCAAAAAAGGGACCCACCGTCCACCTCCCGTCCAGACCCGACGCCTTCATGAGGGAAATGCTGAAAAGCCCAAACTCGGCGCGCGAGCTGCCATGGCCATAGGGGTTCTTCCGGGCCACCCTAAGGGCCTTTGCCCTTTTGTCGGATGAAGGGAACCCTCGCAGAGAAGCAAATCCAACAACCAGATTGAACAAAGCAACACCGACGATCTGGGAAAACGCAGAAAACGCACAGTAGGCTGCAGGCATAGAGCCTCAGTGACGAAGGCGTATGCAGATCTAACTGATTCAGGACGTTGTCGCATGCCTTTGTAGCTTAGGTGCCTCCCAAAGTCTTCAAAATGAAATGTGCGCCATGCCCCCTTTGGTGTCACATGGAGTCTCAGGCACGGGCACAAACACCACAAAGCAGGGCACCACCACCAGGCCGTCATCCTCACTCTCAGCCTGCCAAGCAACCATGGGGCCTTTAAAAAACCGAGAATGGCCCACTGTCCTGGGCACTGTCCTGGGCAAAGAAGAAATACCTGTCGGGCACGCCAGGCGTGAGACATGCCGTCGGCGCGCAGCTCCATCCGCTTGCTGCGTTTTGAAGGGTCATGCTGCCAACTTCGGAGCGATCCGGACAATCATGCTCATCAGGGGTGGCCCCTGTTGGGAAATGGTCTTTTTAGTGGGGTCCCCTCGACTAGTAGCGTCCTCCGGAGGACTCCGAAGTTCACGCCGGCCCGGAGCACACGACTCGGCTGATCTCATCCGCCAGGCACAAAGCTCCTCGAAAGGCCCAAGACTTGGGATGCGCATTCGGCCACTTAACGCGGCCGAAGGCGCCGAAGGCAATCACTGCCACAAAGGATGCCTCGGGGGAAGAGAAAAACACGGGGAACACATGCCAAAAAGGGAGCTCGATTTGTAAGGGCCACGCCACAGTATGCCATGTCATGGCCAACTGGCTGCCTCCCATCAACAAAGGCACCTTGGCAAGCAGAGGCGCTGAGGTTTGCTAGCTGCGAATGGCATTCTTGGCACACAAGTAGTCACCGCAAGGAAGCAAATCGCCAGCTCCGAAAAGTACAAGGTGAACCTAGGCTGGGGCTGCAATGATGCACACAATATGACTAGATCAAAGTCATACATGCCAAGCAAGCACCATTTCAGATCAAACTCGATGAGGGAAACCCTTCTGATGGCCCAGCTGATCCTCATGGAAGCCACGGGAAAGACCCTTGGTAGCGTCCAAATCGCTCCCTGCCAAGCGGCGGGTTGCTCGGCAGGAAGCTCAAAACCTGCGAAGTCGGTGTCCGTTTGATGGCCATCCGAGTAGGGTGAAAGCAGATGGCACATGTCTCTTGAAAGGGGATGAGTCAACCCAAATGAGGTTCCAGCTACTTTCACCCAACAGAAAACCCCAAGAGTTGTTCTAAGATCTATTCTTTAAAGTGGTTCTTCGGGTTAAACGGGCTTTTGCAAGGCTCTTAGCGGTCCCGAAATCCGCAAATTCGCCAAGGCACCCATTGGTTCACCAGGAGAAACCCGGTGAGGGATGACAACGTGAAGGCAAGGGACGCCTTCCGAGACAAAACAAGCAGCTCACAGATGCTTACACAGGGACGTGCAAACCATATCGAAATCTGTGATGCCAAAGCAGCTGGGTCCCATATGACTGTTTGTCACTCTGCGAGGGGCCCCGTTGGTCCAAAACAAGCTGCCCACCCATCCACTCCGCCCCACCCCACATCGTGGATTGCAGGTGCTTGAAAGATGCCTCCCAGGGGGAAAAGATGTCCACCTCAGCTCACGGTTGACATGAACGGCGGCCAATGCTTCAACATGATTCAACATCGGAGCAATCTCTACACGGCGATGTGTCCACGTGTGCGGCTCCAGTGAAGGATTCACAAGGTGTTAGTGCCAAGCTGGTGCCCACTTCGCCCATTGCATCCCAGCAGCTGAGAAGAGGTCCAAGGGCCTTCTCCCCTTCATCAGGGCCACAGTGACGCAAATCAAGCCCACCCTGGGCGCGAATTCATCTTCGAACCCACCGGGCAGGATGGCAGGAAGAGAAAAACGATCTCGCCCACATGCCCCGCGCACTTCGCAAGCCAAGAGGCGCAATGAAGGGTTCGAGCTGCCGACCTGAAGCCACCCGGACGCGAAGCGAGACGCGTCTTAGAAACTTGCCGGGGCGCTGATTCTGGACGCCATGTCGCCTAAACGCAAGGCCAGTGTGCCGGCAGGGATTGAGAACTGGAATGACCCCTAAGTTCTCCAACGGGTGGTTTCCTCCAAGGGAAACCCGTCCAGTTCATTCCCACTCGCACATGTCATTCCCCACCTATGGCACCGGCAAGTTGGAAAGCCGCACGCCGATGTGTGTCTTGGAATTCGACTCTTCTGGCGAGGTGCCGATGGGCTGGGGCAGCTGCTCGGGGGCCTCACAGGTCTCGAGGGAAGGCGAAACAATCTGGCATGACCCCAAGTCCCAAGGCAATACTTCCAGACTTCCAGACCCTGAAATCAGGGATTCCCAGGTAAAAGGCCTCATGGCGCCTTTCGTACCCCTGAAACCTTGGAATTGCACGGCTAGACATGGCCCTTTGCCCAACAGCCCAACATGGCATCTTTGGGAGGCCTGGAAAATGAAATTCCTTTGCAACGGACCCTCTGTCAGGTGCAATATTCAACATGCCGACGACAAAAAGGAGTTGTGTTTTCAATATAAAGCCCAGCGCGTCCACTTACAACTGTAGTAGGTAACCTCAGGGTTTTACATTGTGGTTTTCCCTGATTCCTCGCTACCATGGTGACTGGAAGTGGACAACTCAGCCACTCAGAATTGGCAAAGAACCTGCCGCCAGTCCCGCAACCCGCCCGGCCGGCGCTGGCAGCGGCGTGCGGGCTTTGGCACGCCGGGCTCGGGCCAAGCTGTCCTGCGCGGCGTGGAGGAAAGCTTGGCCCGACAAAACCCGAGCCAAGACTTCTTGACTGGTTCAAAGGGAAGATGAAGGACTCCCCCCAAAAGGGCAAAAGATGGAAGGGTTGCCGAAGCCTGGCAATGTTACATAGATCGTTGGATACGAAAGTGAACAGTCCCTTGTCAACTTGCCCGGGCCTCATTCCCAACATGGGCCTAAGCCTAAGCCGGCGCCTCCAGTTCAGCTCCGAGAGAGGCGAGCTCATCCACGAAGCCTTGCAAATCAGAAACGGGGCAACTTCACTAAGTCCATGCTTTCTCTGCCCAACGCTCTGGGAAAACTCGTGAGGTTCAATGAACACCAACTGATTCAGGGGGAATGTGTTACCATTGAAACCTCCCAAAAAGGGACAGTCTTACCTGCAGCTAGGCCTGTGCTTTCTTACAAGGAGCTCGTGTCAACCCTCCCGCTCCCTCTGACTGAGACCAAGGGCCCCGGTAGCTTGAGCCACTCACTCAAACTGGAAGCCCTGCTTAGCCGACACATCCCACCATAAAACGGGCAACTTGCAGGATACACCTGCCCCAGTTGCCAATATGACAGAAACATATTTTCGCGCAGAAGGAACGGAGCAGCAACACCCCTTCAAAATGTTGGTTTCCAGCTCAATGGGTGTTCCCTTTTTTAGAGGCTATTCAGGAAAGCAACTTTTGGAGGGGCCACCCTATGAACAGGACGGGTTGAGCAACACCCGGGGTGAAGCCCTCGCGAAGCCGGAAGGGAGCGATCCTGACCGAGTCCCGCGCCTGCATCCCTCAAGCGCTGGGTCTCAATAGCCAAATCCTGCAACACCTCGGCTCCAGAAAGCCAAACCCGACTTGGAGTGTTGAGTAGTCACACACTACGGTGACGAAAATCCTGCACCACCTGAGCTTCTCCTGGTTCAAAAGTGGCGCAGGATTTTCCACAGCTAAGAACCAACAAGCAAATCCAACAGGCCCCAGAAGCATCAGTTTCCTGCTTCTGGCCTAAACCCCTCTGGTCAGGTGGCACTATGAGGTGGCAATGTATCAACACGCAATCAATGCAAAGCAACTCTTGATTTGCATGAAGCCGCGGCTGTTGCACCATAAGCCCCTGAAGCCGTCAGGCTAAAAAAGCCCAAGGAGCAACAAATGGGTGCATGGAGAACCCTCTTTTGGTTGGTGTTAAAGAAAAGCAAAAGGACATCAATGGCAAATTTGAGCCAAACTCAATCAGCTTGCTTCTAAACATGGCGGTGAGATGTGCCCCGATTAACCTCATGTCCAGCATCCAGGCGAAAAAACGAAGACTCAACCAACACGGCCCTTTTCTGAAGATCCGGGAAACTAGCAAGCCGAGAGTCGCTCCGCCGCAAAAGCCATGGGGCTCAACTGGCGCCGAGATGCCGTGCCAAGACGGTCTCGCGGCACAGACGCGCCGGCAAGGCTGAGCAAGACAACGGCCATTGCCTGGGTGCCAGGCCACCGTTCAGCCCCTCAACAAACTCGTTTTCTATGGTCGAGTCATTTTAGGACCAAGCCCTGAAAAAAGAGCTAGTGTTTGGTATACATATTGCCAACATGAAGTGTATGGGACAGATGCGGTTGGGACAGAATGCAGTCGCAAAATCTGGCAAGGATTCAAGGGCTCCTTGTATTTCCCCTTCGCACAGTGCACAAGAAGAAGGGAACTTGCCTGAAGTTGGCCCATTGATAGTTGCTACAACCGTGGCTACAAGCCAGGCAGCAGGCGAACCTGCCAGTGGGCGCCAAGATGCTGCTGAGAAGGTCGCCATGGCCAGAGAAACATGGCGTAGCCCGAGCCTTGTCAAACTTTGACCTTTGCGACCTGAAGCAATCTACTACCTCCAAACACCTGACCTCTTTGCAAGAGAAAGGGAAGAGCCTTGCAACGAGTTGCAAAACTGCAACTTCATCGGGTCAGCACTTCATGGCCCTCGTGTGCATCTCGTGTCTTGGCTGCGAAGCTGTAAAGCGCTGCGGCCAGCTGAAACTTCGGACCGCTTTGACCTTCCGTGCAAAGGCGTCACCCCGAAGCATGCGCAATGGTCCCGCTAGCTCACTTTCCCCCCAGTTGGCCCCCAGCTGGTCCAACAAAAGTCGTTTGCATTTTGAGGGGTTTCCAAATTACTTTTGGGGGGTTCCCTTCAAATCACTCAGAATCAAGGCGCCCACAAAGACGGAACCTCACTGGCGATGCCTCTCTCGATGTCGCACGGAGACCTGCGTTCGAGAGGAGTACCAAACTGGCCCTCGCAGGTCCCAAATTCCTTACTTGCCCGGGGACCCGGAAATAGGTGATATCACCCGTGACCACTAAAAATCGACCAAGCAACTCAAAAAGACAAGATAGGATCCGGTCGATTCGCCTTGGGCAAGTGAGTTTTTCAAGGTGCCTACCGCCTCCCAATGGGTCCTTGCTGAGATCCTGGTGTCCCCCAGCATTGCCCCAGTGGAAACACACCCAAGAGCATAGACTGTCAGTCGATGTGTTTTTCTCATCGCAGACTTTCAGTCGAACACTTGATGCAGATGTGCCTGCTCGCAAAACCCTGTAGGCCACGTGGACAGCAAACATGTCGACTACTAACCCTACACACAGTTGCAAGCAGGCACACCTAAATCATCCTAATTCCTTCTTTCGCTGATGGCAGCAGCCGTGTTTGTTGACAGCTGCTGGGGCCAGCATGTTGAAAAATTGTGAAACCAGACAACCAGAAACCTCGCGCTCCAGCCAAAGATTACATTTGCCATGTGTTGCGCCCAAGTTTCAGAAGATGCTCAGAGACTCACATTGAATCCACGAGCTCCGAATTCACCAAACTTGTGTCTTCGCCAAGGCACCAGCGCGGCCTTAAGCGGAATCCGAATCTAGCAGGTCCTGCGTGTCCTCCGACTGCTCGCGCATCTCGCAGTTGCGGCACCCCAGCACTGGCACAAATCCTCCGAAGATGCTGGCAAAGCAGGCCTCCACCTTTCCAGTTGATGTTTTGCAGCACCTGGACATGCCCATGCACATCTCCTTGAAGATATGGAGGATGCTCGAAAATATGGACTCAAAGAGATCTCCGAGCCAGTTGCAAAAGTGGGCAACTTCGTGAACCACGCCGTCACAACATCCCGGAAAGCCCGCAAGCATCCTCTTCAAGCAATGGGCGAAATTCGTACACATGTTCATGAAGAAGTGGAGGATGCTACCCGCACAGTGCTCGGCGCACCCACAAAGCATCCCCACCTTTGCCACGATCCATGCCCATAGCGCGCAAATGCATTCGAACATTGCTAATCTGATCCTCCAAAGCTTGAGCAGCCTCCTTGTTGCGAAACTCACCAGCGAGAAAACCCAAACCCATGATCAGGCGCACGCGTGGCAAGACATGCTCAGACTTGCAAAGGACCGGCCACGCCGCACAAGTGTAACTAAAAGCAAAGTAACAGAGCGGCAAACTGCGACACAGCCTGACCCGAGGTCCATCAATAAACCTCCAGCCAAAGGAGTTGGAGCCATTTCCAGTTGACCAGGTGGGTTGCCAACAAACTTCTGCCACATCGCAAGCTCGAACCGCATCCCGCCTAGTGCCCTGGGCTCGGACGGCCTGGCGTGGTTCTCACGGCTTCCCGGTTGCTTCAGGTGACTGGAGGGCCCCGGACGTAAGAGCAGGGATGGGAAGTACTTATCATGGAAAGCTGGTGGTTCCCTGATCCCTTGCAAGGACCCCCAGAAATAAAAGGCGATCTGGGGTCATGACTAGGAATGGAACATGCGAAAACCATTCAGAGGTGGGCTTTGGGCAAGCGAGTCTCAACTCTAAGCCAACAAACAACTCAAACTCCCTGGCTGGGAACCGAGGTAAGTCATTGGCCGAAGCCTTCCCGTGCCGCTTCCTGCAACGCCAGCGCCATGTCTCGAAGTTCGTGGCCGGGCTGCCGTGGCATGAAGCTACGGGTCTGTGAGGTCTTGTGCTGTTCTGAGTCCATAGGGATCAACATCTCACTGGTGGCAATGGCCACAGGCTGAACCAGGACATACTTCTATGCTGTTGGCAGGCAGACTGCTCGATACTGCAGCTCCGGGAGCCACAAAGCAGCTGGACAGCGGGTTTCAGGAAATGCTGCTGCCTTGAGTTTGAGAGGATTCGGGTACAACTGGATTTCATTCAGAAGCGGGTCGGTTCAAGGGCCAGTTCTTGATCCCCTGAAGCAATAAAGAAAGAGATGCGTGCCGCGAGCATTGCACACTGTCTCCAGCAAACACAATATGACGAGAGCGCCCCTTTTCCCCATCCACAACCTGAAAAAACGGTTTGTTATGGCACAAGGTCGCATTCCAGAGGCAAAACTGTGGCCAATGTATCCACTACGAAGGGCACACTGAAAGGCTCTGGGCTTGAATTGGTGAAAAGGCGTGCATGCCGGCTCTCACTCTCGTCTTGCTCGGAGCCACTGCAGTCCTGGCGGGCGAATGCAAATGCGGGTCGCATGTCAGCACGGTATTTTGCGCCAAAACCTGTGCGCGGCACTCCGCAGCCAGTTCTTTTTTGCACCTGATGCCTGTCATGCCTTGAGCATTGCCGCCAAGGAGGCGTAGCCTGCTACCTCGGCCACCTCCATGGGTGTGCGTCCAGCAGGGCCGGGGGTCAGGTCTGCCTTGGCCGCCAGCAGCAGATGGCAGACCTCCGCGTGGCCTGAGGCTGCGGCCGCGTGGAGTGCGGCCGCACCGCCGGTGCTGCGCTGCGCGACGTCGGCCTTGGCCGCCAGCAGGGCCTGGCAAATGCCCAAAGACCCCGCGCCCGCCGCCAAAATCAGCGCGGTCTTGCCGTCAGTGTCGGTGGCTGCGGCGTTGGCGCGGGCATGCAGCAGCTGATGACACAAATCTGGGCTGGAGCTTGCCAGCATCAAGGAAGTCTGACCCCTTTCGCTGGGCTGCTCTGGGTCCGCTCTTGCTGCCAACAGCTCCTCTACCACTGCAGCATGGCCAGCAGCCACTGCCATGACGAGAGCTGCTGCCCCCTCCCCGCTGCGATCTCCCCTGCTGCGGAGGTTTGGGTCCGAGCGCGCCGACAACAAAACTTGGCACAGCTGAAGGTTCCCACTTGCTGCCGCACAAGGCAAGGCTCTCCGGCCACCAGCGTCAGCTGAATTTGCGTCGGCCCGAGCCTCGAGGATCAGCCATGCAGTAGACGCGCCCCCAGCAACGGACGCAGCGACCAGCGGGGACATGCCGGTCTTCAGGTCTTCCCGATGTTTTGCTTCTGCAAGCGCCCCACAAGCAAGCAGCGTCTCGACAAGGCCGTCAGAACGCGCAGTGCAAGCTGATTCCAAAGGCGTGATGCCCTTCCGATTGGGAACCTCAAGGTCGGCCCTGCTTTTGCACAGCATGCTGATGATGTTTGACGAATTCTCGTGAGAATTCTGTGCCGCACGCAGAAGGGCAGTGTGGCCTTCAGCATCCTTCTCGTTCACATCTGCTCGTCTGCTGAGGAGCTCTTGAACCATTTCCAGGTGCCCATGCCGCGCCCAGGCGTGCAATGCCCCCTCCACCGGTGCGCCCTTGCAGGGTTCCGCTGATCTCTTTGAACATCACCCCCCCCCCAAACAGAAACCCGTTTTGTGGTCACGAAAGGTGATGCCGCTGGTGAGAAACAAGAAATCCAGTGGATGGATAAAATATTGCACCAGTTGAAAGTGGGATGACAAGCATAAGATAATGACTTCCCTTGTCTCGCATAGGTGCATTGTGCTTAAACAAATTGCTTGACACATACCTGTTGACTTTCCTTTAAGCCAACCTTAACAGGGTACCCTCAAACTTCACACACCGACACACACCCAAATGAGATTTCGGGGACATCAAGAAGGAAAACCTCCAATCTATCACCCCCCAAAAAATGACACCACACGCAGGCACCCCGTCTGGATCAAGTTTGCCTTGTCCAGCAGCATCCGCCCAATGCGCCCCGCGGATCCGCCGGCCGCGGCGGCCCGCGCCGCCGTGCGCAGGGCTGGGCCCAGTGCCTTGGTCGGCGGATCCGCTGCCAACAGCGCGGACAAGAGCTCTGGATGGCCATGGGCGGCGGCCTCCGTGAGAGGCGTCTCCTCCTATCGGTTGAGGTGGGTTGTTGGCTTGGGGGTGGTTTAGGGGTTTAGGTTGAGGGTTGTCATAGGGGTAGGGGTAAAAATTAGGAAACAAAATTGGCTCGGGGTTGCTTGGGGTTCAGGGCTTCTCAACATGGGATTCGCACCCCCTTGTAACGGGCGGCCAAAAAGGAAACTCACCCGTTTAGGAGAAACACAAAATGGACCCAGGATAACTCCCCTGCGGATTGACATGGAACCCAAACCAACAATTACTCATGTTGGATGCTCCTTTTGGGAACCCCTTTTTAGATAAGCCCCGTAGAGTCAAAGGCTGATAAGGTGTTCAATTCAAGAAAGTATCCCAAAACCCATGGCAAAAGGGCGCCGTTCCTTTTCTGCAAAAAGCTATTTCGCAATCCGAGTTTGGTCTCCCCCAGATATAGAAAGTAATCCTCCGCTTTGATCCATGTTTGGGATTGATTTCGAACAAGCCAGGCCCATGGTAAAGAATTAGAGGGCCGCACCTTGTTGTGTTGTTTGGGACTGGTCCGGCCTTCACTTGCCCCATCAAGTAAGACATATAGATTGCTTTAAGGGGGATCCCTTTGGGTGGCTCCGAAGAGCCCGCCAAATAGGCAAATCTATTGCCTACATGGGGGGGGTTGTGGAGCTTGCAAAGTTCTTGTTATTTCCCTTGTTGCTGATTGGCCAACATTTGGATGTAAGAAAGGCGAAGAGTTTTAAAACCAAGGAAAACAACAAACCGCTCATCAAGTGGGAGTTGATCAAAAGGTAATCTGAACAAGCGGTGGCCACTCGGGAAACCATTAAAACTGATGACTTCACCACTAAATGGGAAAAGTTACCCATGGAACATTGATCAACCCCCATATACCGCTCTGTCCTTTGGTCTTGCCTGGTCGCTTCCCTTTAAGCGAATCAAAGTGAACAGGGTAACCTCAAAAAAAAAGGCTACAAGCTTCGGGTTCTTTGCCCAAAAAGGCTCCGAGGTTCCGGAAGGAATCCGGGTCGGGATATGGGCTTGTTTGCTCGGAGGTTGACTTCAAGCAAACACGCAATGCACAAAGTCAGTGGAAAAACTGGGATGGCACACAAATACACACAAAACATACACAAACACATAATTACGCACAAACATACACACAAACATACACACAAACATACACACAAACATACACACAAACATACACAACAACAAAAAAACGCGGGTCGCTTTTTGGTTGGTCGCGCCTGTGCGCTTTCCTGGGCCACATCCGCGCTGGCTTTCAGCAGGGCCTCGATGGTGGGCCGCGCCTGGATGCCCAGCTGCACTGCCCGCAGCAGGGCACTGCCCTGTCGCTCCGCGCGTTCGGTTGCGCTCGAGGGCTCTGAATGTCGCTTCGGCTTTTTTAGGCGTTTCACGGCGCTTTATGGCGGTTGCCCCCTGTGAGTTGGTGCTTCTGAGCTTGTGTTGGCTTCCAACACTTATTTCAGGGTCCAACACTTATTTCTCATTGTGCTCACACTTGTGTGCACACATGTCTCAACATGCTGAAGAATGCTCTCCAACATCTGTGCACATCTTCATGTTGTGCACATTTCTCAACACATGGTAGAGCCCTCTGACTTCGCTTCGGCTTCTCAGGCGTTTCTCAGGGCGTACCAGGTTCTCAGATGCCCAGTGGCCAGGGGGAACAAAGTGCATCATTTTTTGGTTTCAAGGGAATCCCACCCCCAAAAAAAAGAAGGAAAAATGGCACCAATGGGCAACTGGGGGTTTGCCCCCTGTAAGTTGGTGTTTTTGTGCTGAAGGATCTTGCAGGGCGCCAGTTTCCAAACTCCTTGTTTGCCCGCAAAACTGCCCCCCCCCCCAACCAAAAAAAACACCAAGTAATAAAATCCGGAAACTCAGGAAAGTGAGTGTATGGGTCTGCTTTCCCCGTGTTTCTTTTTTGGTTTCAACCTTCCAAAGCGCCTGGTGGGGGTCTGTGGCGTTGACCTCCGCGCGGCTCTGCAGCAAGGCCTCCACCACGTGCAGCTGGCCCTCCCGCGCCGCCAAGACCAAGGACTGGCCCTGGACCCAAAGATTTGGAGCTTCGACAGCTCTCTTTGGTGGCCGCTCAGAGGTGCTTAATAAGTAAAGGTTGCTGTGGCGTTCAGCCCCCCTAATAAGAATGCCTTTAGTCCGCTCGACCGTGACTGGGGGCCGAGCCCCCTCCCCCCCGCCCCCTGCCCCCTATACTGTTGCTTCCTGGGGTGCTGTGGCGTTCAAAGGTCCTCAAAGTAGATGTTTTTTGCGGGACTCCTGGGTGGTTTGCTTTCTTTGGTGGCGTTTAGCGGCGTTTTGCGGAGGTCCTTGCAGTAGATGTTGCTTGGGTGGTGTGGGGTTGTCACCTCTTGGGTTCCCATTTGAGGTGCGTTTCCTCGTTGTTCGAAGGGGGTATGGAACCCCTTTTGTTTGGCTCAGCCGCTTGTTTTTGCTTGGTTCACCAGTTTTTGCTCACCTACCCCACTGCACCTTTGGACCGAACACCAAAAAGCTGCTGTTCGCCACCTCCGAAATTGGACAAAGGAAAAACCAAGGGGTGGAAAGAGCTTTTGTACATTTGCTGTTTATGTTTTGGGTTGAGCTCTTCTCCTTTCAATTTGCATTTCCAGAAGAAACCAACACTTTGGCGTCCATGCATGTTTCGAACACGGTGGCCTCAACAGTCCGAGAATAGGACCACGTCCAACTTGTGCGGGGGAACCAAAATCGCCGAAAACCGACTTCCTGGATTGCCCAAAGTCCAACCCCTGGTTTGCCATGGTGTCCCCAACAAGTACGTCCAGGTCCAGGACCGTCCAACTCAGTTAGAGCCAGGCGCTCGACAATTTCAATGATAAATGGCTACTCTTTTGGTCAGGGGGTGACATCATACCCTATCATGCCTTGAACAAATGGTGGGTCTTGGCCATCATGCTGACCCCAAATTAGAACACCCCTGACTGATTGACAGGGGGGTGTCCCCTTTTGGTCGGGATTCATCACTTTTGGAGGGAACACACCCCCTATTACTGGATCTACTTAGATCCGGGGCCAGAATTTGGAGTGAGTCCGATTGAGCCGACTGCCTGGGTCAATTCCTTGGGCAGCTCCGTCAGCTCCGCCTGCGGCTCCTCTGTCTCCTTCTCCCCATCGGAGTCCGAGTCGCCGATGCCGTCGAAGCGGGAGTAGTCCAAGCCGGGCATGGCGGAGCGGCCCAAAACAAGGCCAACGCCAAGAGGCGCGAACCAAAATCCCCAGGTCACTTAAGAAACCATTTGATAGTTAGGGGGGCGGGTTGGAAGAAAGGGGTGCTGAAATCGGAGGCGAAAAACTTGATTGTCCATGTATGCAAGTTGGAACCCGTTTGTTGGAGCCTGAATTCTGGCAAACTCCAGCCTCCTTTGCCATTGCTCCAGCCAGTTCTGTGAACCCAAATGGTTGGGCACAGTTTTGGCAAACCAATGCGGATCGCCAAAGAAAACAGGTCAAACTGCACCTGCAAGTGGGGCAGGGACATGTCAGCTCTGTGCGATAAGCACTCATGTATGCACGTCGAAACCGGCAGGAAGGTCTAACGCTTGCAGCTAGAACCAAATGGAACCACCGCTGACGGGGTGGGACGTGAAACTCCCCCTACGCCAAATGGCAACTATCAAAGACCTGCCTTCTTAAGAAGTTGAAAACACAATTGGTGGTCGCATCATTTTTGCATTTCTTGGCGTGGAGGGGGGATGCTGGAGCGAATGTCACGTCGGGTCCTCGAAATGGCAAGCTCAAGATCTCGCAGGCGCCATCAAAAATGGAATCGAAGACTTCTCCCACGGTCCTGGGCGCTCCCAAGAAGGCCAAGTGAGTCTGTGTCCGGGGTGCCCCAAAACTGAGTCAACTGTTACCACCCCTTCTGCATGCTGAGGGAAGCCCACCCGGACCTCTCCAAGGGGTAGACACACCACGCAACGCGATTGCACACTGCCCAGCAGCGCCAAGACCTCTTCGTGAAACTTCAGGGGCTCTTGCGACACGCCTCGGACGAGCCGCAGGAAGCAAGCACGACGCACCATGTCACGCTGCTACAGCATAGCAGGGCCTCTGAGGCACACGGCCTCCAGAAAAAAAAGAAGTGTTTGGACCCAAGTCGGGCAAGCTTGCCATATCGGTTGGGGCTCATCTGCTGGGAATCGGAATGGAGGAAGTGACAAGCTGCGCAATGGGCCTGAGTTATCCGCCGACATTGCTCGGCGTGTCGGACACCTAAGAGAGGATAGAGGATAACCCCCCCCCCTAACCCCCCCCCCACCCGACGTCTGATACGTGGGGGGGACCGCGCGGCAATTTGATGACGTTCCACTAAACGTAGTCTTCGGGGACCCGGTGTCGCAAAACAGGGGTCCCAGGCTCGATTCCCCCTGCCGGCTTTTTTGCTGGCTTGGGCTTCCTGCATCCTTTTGCCGAAAATCTGGAAAAACTCTGTGTTTTTGGACATCATCTTTGCGAAAACGCTGGAAAAACAGTGTTTTTTTGCGGGAAATACTGGGGAGCAAAGGGGAAGTGCAAGGATACATACATTACATACAGACAGACATACATACATACATACATTACATACACAACATACATACATTACATACATACATACATACATACATACATACATACATTACATTACATTACATTACATTACATTACATTACATTACATTACATTACATTACATTACATTACATTACATTACATACATTACATTACATTACATTACATTACATTACATTACATTACATACATACATACATACATACATACATACATACATACATACATACATACATACATACATACATACATACATACATACATACATACATACATACATACATACATACATACATACATACATACATACATACATACATACATACATACATACAGTACATACATACATACATACATACATACATACATACATACATACATACATACATACATACATACATACATACATACATACATACATACATACATACATACATACATACATACATACATACATACATACATACATACATACATACATACATACATACATACATACATACATACATACATACATACATACATACATACATACATACATACATACATACATACATACATACATACATACATACATACATACATACATACATACATACATACATACATACATACATACATACATACATACATACGAGAGAGGGAGATTGGGGAGAGAGTGGCTTGGGGGGATGGGGAGGATGGGGAGCGGAGGGGGAGAGAGGACGACACAACACACCAGGGAGAGAAGGGAGAGAGGAAGAAGGAGAAAAGGGAGAGGACAATGTCGGCGGACTGAGCCGGAGGCTCTAAAGTTTCTGTTCCCCCCGAGGTTCTCACCACCCGGCCCGCCGACTTTCCAACTCTACTCCTTGACCAAGATCCCTGTCTGGATCCGCAACAAACTTATCTGACCCAACCTTCCATCATGCAGAAGCAGGAACGGGAAGCTTTCTTTCGGCTTACCAAACTGAAAACCAACAGCTGGCACCTACCATGCAACAGCAGGGGTTCCTCCCATACCCCTTTTTTGCCCCGTTCCCAAACACGCTCCCAAAACAACTGGGGAGTTGGCTTCAGCCCCTTGCTGACCATGGTTTTCGCACCTCTTGAACCTCCCTGGCTGTAACACACGTGTGGCGCCACGAGCCCTCGCCAGAGATGGCGACATGGAGGTGCTCTCTTGAATGCTCAACGGTCAGGAGTCAACCATAGAAGAAAATATGGGGGAATCATGAGGATCGCCTTCCGATTCATAATCCGAAAACTGTTGAACTTCCAAAACTTCCCTGACCAAAGCCAGAAGCAAAACCACAAACTTGCTGGACTTGATCCATTTCTTGCGGCTGGGTGTGTACTGGCCATGGCCATATCTTGGGCATCCGTACCCGGCGTGGGCTGAACCCCCCCCCCCCGCCCAAAAAAAACCGCTCCCCCAAGCCGCCGAGGAGCGGATGGCCTTGCGGTCGCCCTGGCGCCTGGGGAGCCGCAAGGTGCTCCGGGGCCTTCCGATTCGGCGGCCGGAGATCCAGAGGACCACCAGCAGAGCGCTCAGACCCTGAGCCGAGAAAAAACTGACTCGTGGCCCTGGATTTGGTTCAAGCCCCAGGTTATTTTTGTTGCTTGAAATTGGGGGACCCTCAAATGTGGTGTTGCCTTTTTGTTTTGGTTGGGGTGTCTCAACATGGTCTCTCTCAGAAAATTGTGGATTTGTTGCTGTTTTTTGTTCTTCTCCCAGGGGACTTAAGCAACTGGAGGAGTTGGTGCAGGGGGAAGGTTGGGAGTTCACGTATTCCATGTATTTGCAGGGACTCACCAAACTTCCCATCTCCAGTGGCCTAATGTTTACCCTGAATAAACCCCTGGTGCTCCCCTCCACAATCGATGATTCCTCACTAAACCCAGGGACAGCTTATCAATCTGGGGTCATTACCCATTTGGGCTGGTTTTCAAGGGAAGCATCCACAAAAACATCTGAACATATTCCTCATCAACCAATTGGAACGGCCAGGCTGGGCGCCCGGGCCAGCATCGCCTCGTTTCGGCCAAAGCTCCAGGTGCCATTGGTGGGCTCGCAGTAAAAGCAAAGGGCGCCTGGCGAGTCTGCAGTGACTCCACTGGCCTGTTTTGCAGTTAGCCAAACAACAATTAAACCTACTTCAGGAGTAACTGGAATCGAGTAGGTTAGGGATGGTTCCTGAGGACACGAATGAGTTGCCCTCCAACTACGTAACCTCAAAAACAAAAACACACACGGAAGCACACACACACACACAAACAAAGCATATATTGGGAGGGAGGCTCCCGACAAGGAAACCACCGCCTGAAGAGTGTGGCTTCCCTTCAGTTTTTTACGTTTGGCCCCACATGGCAACAGTAACAGCTCAAAGAGGCAATCTATCCGCGTTAAGATCTAACTCCATTCCAAATTTGCCCACTCTTCCACTGGTAGAAAGGCGTTGCCCTTAATGTCAATGCCCAGGCTCCATCCACTGTGCTGGCGTTGTGCTTGACGTGTGTCAAGGAGTTCGCGCACTCACAGTCTTCCGGAGTACATTGGTCCGAGGCTTCTGTGCATGCTGGCAGTCTCGGAGGCTCGCAGGCATAGCAGGGCCGGCCATCGATACTTACGTTCCTGGGCCAGCCGGTCAGCTGCTTAGCCACTTGCTTTCCCAAGTTGGTGGCTAATTGGTGGCTAGCAACATGGCTTGGAACCCACTCAGTATGCCAAGAGGAGTAAGCCCTGCTGTGGATGGGTTCCAATGCAGGTGCCTAACCACTTCGCAACTTCCCCCCTAATTAGCCTTGCTTTCTGTAGGGCGTTGTTGAATCCCGCTTTTAAGAAATGATGCTCCTTGGCCAACAACAAGGGTATACAGAGAGGAATAAGTTCAGATTTGCTTCAAAATTTGAGCGCCTAAAGCAGAACAATGTTTTGAAGGAGGGCACAGGTTTGAGATAAAGTCCATCACCGCCACGGTCAGGAGGTCAGCCAAACGTTGAATCCCTCCCCAAACAAATGTCGCCCCCTGAACCTCTGGGAAATCTTGCTAGGGGCCCCAAAATCCCAAAAGCAACAACTACACTTTGAGCACCAATTAAAGCTGCAAGACTGCATCGCATGTGTTTGATCGGTAAAGGCAGGTGTTGGCTTCATGTTGCTCATGGGTTGCGAGAGTGCGTTGTGGGGGTTTGGACAACATGCTTGACCTGGAAGAGTTGCAAAAGAAGGAAGGGATTCATTGACTCCAAGGCTCACAAGCTCTCGGACATGGGACGAATTGGAACACGCGCAGCCCTCGTCAAAGCTGCACACTGTATCAGAGCCAGCAACGTCTGACGCCGGGCACCAGCTTCTTCCAGACATTGAATGGCTCGAGGCTGGGCCAGCTTGTTAAAATGGGATTTAAATGCAGGCGGCAAGCGTGGGACGGCGCACCTGAAAATGCTGGAGCACATGTGGAATATATTTTATCATGGCAGGTCCTCTCATTCAATACTTGCCCGCGCCACCGCGCACGCTTGCTGGCTGCAAGCCGAATGCTGCGCAACATGACATGCAGAGGTCGCTGCTGGCGCTGCTGCCACAACTTCATCTCCGTCCCAGAAAGCAAAGCGACTTGCAACCCTTGGGTTTACGGGGCCTGCGGACCCGGAACGCTTGTTTTGAACCCATGCGGTAAGTGGCACTTTGGCCGAAGCTACGGTCCCAGGCTGCACTGATGCAAGAAACCCTCGATCTCGGCATTGACCTGTGGTTTTGCGGCGAAGGCAACCCTCTTCACCCCACCTACCCTGGTTTGACAGGGCAACTACAAGAAAAAGCCACCCTTTTTGGGAGGGTGGCTGTTTTGAAGGTGGCCTCCTTAGGGCTGGTTTTGAACGGGGAACCCAAAACAGGACCTATCTTAGGACACCCTGAAATCGATTCAGCTTGAAGCTCGCCATGCTGGCCATGCCCGACGAGCCTCATCGGCCAGCCAGTAGTGGAACCAGTGATGGGCCGGGAAGGACCGAGTGTACTGCAACTTGGTGCCCTTCCGCTTCACGGCTTGCAGGAAGTACTTTCCAGCTAGTGTCAATCTGGAGCTGGGCAAATCCTGAGCAAGGACTTGGGGGGTTGAGAAAGCCAGTGTTTAGGCGACCTCCTTTGGGTTTTTCGGAGACCAGGGCAACAGCTGGTTTAATCAAATGTCGTAACTATCATTTTTTGCATGTTGGGGCGGTTCATTTGCAAGCCCCATCCAGAAAGGGCACTGAACGAGGGACCTAAAAGGCTTGGCGCTCTTAGTGGATCCCAGTTAATTACCACGATATTTTACTCTAGATTCATGATGGTGTCCCCTGGCTCCAACACCAGTGGGCTTGATTGGGTTGACGGAAGCCCTGGGTCACATCCAACATCGCCCCTGAGGCGGGCACTCCGTGGAGGAAGAGGAACGGGCAGGAGGGCAGCTCCCCCTTCAACTCCGCCTGGATTTCGCGAGGCGGGCCTTCTTACCAGATGCGACAGGATCATCAGATTTGGTGACGGTTGGAATGACGGGCTTAGAGGTTGAGGGTGGTTTCCCATTTACCCTCCTCAAGAGCCAGGGATTCACATCCCCAAGCCCCAAAAAAACTATACCCCCAACTACGGGTTATCCGACATCGCAGCAAGCAGTGGGCCCAGCACCCCCAACTCGGCTGGAGCCGATCAAACGCATGGCGATGCCAGCGAGCGTCGTCAGCGCTGCAGTCGCACCAGCCTTGCAACCCTTGCGTGCGCCAGAGCGCCCATTGAAAGAACCGAGGGGGCTTCAACGTGTGCCAGTACCTCGCAGAGCGAAGAGCGAAATGCAACTCGCTGAACGCCGGCCGGTGAACCCCATGCGAGCAAGCTAACTTGCTTGATTTCTACTCCAAAACTGTTTTGTCCGACAAACAAAAATCCTTTTGAGCCCCACGGCTCACTAGCGCACCAAATCTGCACATGTGCCGGTAGAACCTCCTACTCCAAATGCCTCCTTGTGAAATGGTGGTGTTCTGCAACAGCATGGACACCCATGACCATACCTCCAGTCCAGTGGGCTCCTTTGCTCCTTGTGTTTGGAAAATTGCACAAGCGATTCCTGCTCATTTGCGCGCCGAGCCAGAAATCAGCCGGCGGAAGGGGCGGGGTGGGAGACAACTCAGCTTTAGCAAAGGCTCGTGAAGCCCATGCTCGCGGACATCTCCTCCAGTGGCGTGGGTGTCAGAGGCATCTCCCAGCCGGTGAGCGGACTGAGGCCCCGAGACACCTGTCTCAAGATCGGCCCACTTAACTGGCAAGGGCTTCCTTTTAACTTTGCTTTCAATACCAACCAAAAGAGGGTCCGCCATCCCAGTTAGCTAAACTTCTGGAGGTTGGTTCCCCAGAAAGGTTTCCCCTTAAAACCCCAAACCAAATTGGACACTTTGAGAGACGCCCACCAGCAACCGCAGCAGGAAATCCGCCAACGGAGCGCCGAAGGGCAGCAAGTGCAGCAGGTAGCAGGCGGCGGCGCTGGATTGGTAGGCAGCCACCTAAAGGCCACCGAGGCAGTGGCCCCGAGTGGGCATTTCCGGGCATGGGCGTTGGAAGTTGTTGCTTGCGTGCCAATCTAGGCTCGGCAATACCCATTATATATGTGGCATAGAACCTTAGGATCTCCATACCTGCAAAGCACATCCTTGGCAAAGCCGTTGAACTTGAATGAAGGGCGGTTCGATCTGCTTCGGTTTTGTGCTGGGTGAAGGATGTTTGCGTGCAAATCTCAGAAAGGGAAGGTTCCACTGAAAACCGTCCAAAAGGGGAATCCTTTTGAAGCCAATGCAAGGGGTACCCTCTAAAAGGAGACACAACCCTCATGAACCTGCGCCGCCCCGTAAAATACTGTGAAATACAATGTTGCTGAGCATTGCACCTACCTATTTACCTCCTTAAAAATGGTGGCAGCTCAGCAACAACACGTGAAACTTTGTTTTGTTGAATACTCTTGGAAGTTGTTCCACTGGATGGCGAAACACTCCAAACTATCTTACCACTGCATTGAAAATTAAAGATTGAAGATTGCACGGGACACTTTTCCGAGAATCTTGTCCCTGTACTTTGAATCCAGCCATTGCAGGAGGGTTTAAAAAAAAAAAACAAAACAAAACAAAAACGCATCTCAGACTCTTAATTCTTGAATCCGAGCTTTCGCCGAAAAAATGTGAAACATATTCTAGTGTGTCTCAACACTCCTGAGATGCATGCCAACTGGCAGGTGGCAAATTGTTTCATCATTGTTTTCATTGCATGTGCATGCATACATACATTTGTATATGTATAAAGATTATGCAACAAAAAAAATATGGCAAACAATGCATAAACACAGGACAACGCAGTACAAACTGACAAAACACCGGGTCCAGTCCATGCGGGGGTGCACTTCAGGTACCTGTGTGGGTACCGGTCAAATTGGGGGATCCCAACAATTGTGGTGTTCCATTCAAAGTAACCCAGAAAAAAGGTACTCTCAAAGAACATACCGCATAGCTATGTGTATATATAAACGTGTATAATATATATATATAATGTATATTATATATATAATTATATATATATATAATATAGCATCTTTCTATATGGTCAAGGACGATCAAATTGGCGATTGCGCTTTTCACCTCCAAATGCTTGCCGAAATAGATCGTTCCGAGACAGAAGATGTTCTTTTTGGCCGTGTTCTTGTCAAAAACAACCCTGTTTGGGTTGGATGCAGGTACAGCCAACCAGAACCCCCCCGATTTTGGCCGCAACCCCCTGGGCTCGCCCTCGCCGACTCGCCGACTCGCCGAGGCGCGCGCCAGGCGAGCGACAGATCCGCTGCGCCTTGGCCCGGCGCCACGTCCAGGGGCACCAGGGCGTCGTAGAGCTCCGGGCGCAGGCGCTGCGCCATGTAGCCCAACCAGGCGCCCCAGTCATGCGCCACCAGCACTAAGCCTCGATGAAGTCGAACAACTTCGTTGGTGCCCCGAGTTTTGCCTCTTTTTTCTGGTGGGGGGGAGGAAGGGGGGCTGAAGGGAAACGAAAAGGTCAAGCGAAGTCCATTTTTTTGGAAGGGGGGCCCCCAACAAGGCTTCTGTTCTTACTGGTCTCTTGGTGCAAACAATGGCCGGTCTTGCTACATGAATCCTGTTTAGCTCCTGTGTTGACTCTTCTGGCTTTCAAGATCAAAACTGGGGTCGGTTTGGGATGCCGGGAAAAGCGAACGCCCTGAATCCCAAAAAAGAGATTCCATCATCCGCTGGTCAGTTACAACTTAAAGCGGAGCAGTGCTTGCATCCAAAGAGCACCTGATATCGAACTATGCGAACCACGCGGCTCGTTCCGAAAATGCCGGAGTCGACCACCAACACATCGGTATGTGGCAAAAAACAAAGGACCCCCCGAAATGGGTGCTTCCTTTTGATGTCAATTTAAACCAGCCCCAAAAATGGGCAACGTGGGACCCTGAAAAACAGACGTACACAGCCAAATCCTCTAGCCGCCCTTGTGGTCATGGAGGTTGGTCCACTATTCTTTGGCTTGCGCTCATTAAGCAGCCAGCTTGCAGCTTGCAGCCTTAGGGGCAAAAACCAACACCCATTTAGTTTCCCGATCGCAAAAGACCGCCGCCGCACACTCGGGTGTCTCCCAAAATGGGCTTGGGCCCCCAACATGGTGGTTTCTCTTTTAAGCCTTGTTAACTCCCAACCAGGACTTCACAAAGAGGCCCTTTTTTCCATTCCAGGGGAGCTTGCATCGAATCCAAGCTGCTGCTGCCATTTGATCGCAGGTCTGCGGCCAAGTTGTTGAGCTGCGACGCCAAAACGTCGAAGTCGTAACCCCAGGTGGACCTTCGGATCCCATCCCAGGCTTGGGGAGGGGCAAAATTTGCGGTTTGCTTCTTCAGCCTTAGCTTCAAAAGTGGGGCCCAACAAAGTCCAAGAATGTTTTTTCTACTACCAAAATGAGATTATCAAAAAGTCTGAAAAATTCTGAAAAGTTCAGGAACTCCGGAAGTGAGAAAAGGGGCATCGAAAGGCGGCGCCAAGAACTGAATCTTTTTAACAACACCCCCGATTGTTAGAAGAAAATTGGCATGCGCATGCATGCGCATGGTCGCAATGAGCATTTGGCATTGCTTTTGTTTACCCAGTGTTTTTCCCAGGGCGTGGAGCTGTTCGTTAAGCCGCGCTCTGTGCAACGGGGTAGCTGCTAATCAAGCTTGTATCTGGCGAGCCTTTGAATGGCAACTGGTGTCTCTTTTTTTTATCCAATGACTGCAACTGGCGCAAAAATTGCCAGCAACTCTGAACCGCAAGCTCGTAATCTTCTATGTGGAGGCGTTCCCCAAAATGTAAAGTGGAAGCTGTGGAGAATGCTCGGTGGCCTGAAGGGCAGGTCATTGCCACAACTCAATTTTTGCAGCCCTCAACCAAGAATAAGCGATATGTCCCTCTACCGGAGGTGTCATACGTGTTCCCCTAGACATCACACCGACTCAAAGGAGACAAGGAGACCCTTCTTTCACGATCGAACAGGTGATGCTTGAAGGAACCCACGCACGAAAGGGGCATACCCTCCCTGCCTTTGCACTTCCATGCTTCGTGACCCTGAGCAAGGAAAAGCCAACCCCCGATAGGTCCGAAAATGAACAAAAGTGGGGAGAAACATCTGCACAACAAGGGGGCGTAGTTTCATAACCTGTCATTCCTCTTTATAACCACCCCAAAAAGGGTATCCTCAAAAAAGTCACACCCATATGCTTGGGCAACGTTCAACCATGAACCTAGGATTTAACTCAAAGACTGTTTACTATGATCATCATTTGCTAAGGGGGCGAGTCCTGGCTGGTGCCGCAAGACCTCCCAGCTGCTCGTGCGCCAACATTGCTTTGTGATACAACAGGAAACCAATTTCTGCTCATTTGCCCGTCCCCAACAACCAGCAACCAGCCAAGATGGGCATGTGTCAAAATAGGAGGCCCTAAACTGGTGCTTGTCTTTCATCAAAAGGCCCCCCCCCAAGAAAAAAGAACACGACACACACACACACACACACACACACACACACACACACACACACACACACACACACACCCACGCACGCACGCACGCACGCACGCACGCACGCACGCACGCACGCACGCACGCACGCACGCACGCACGCACGCACACTCACGTTGACCCGCCGCTCCAACGCTTGCGGGCCTCTCCCCAAAGCCGTGGTTCGGCAGCTCCGGCGCCACGCAGCGGTACCCCAGCGCAGAGAAGCGCCGGATCTGACGGGTCCAGACCTGCGGTAGGATAATATGGGACCTTGACGTAAAACTTTGCAAACAAATCTTGGTTGCTGCTGTTGACCCCCGTGCAAAAGGTGAATCACTTTTTGGGGGGGGTTGGTGGAAAACACCTTGATTTCACTTTGCAGGGAAGGTTGCATGTAAGCCGAGGAAGCTTGACATAAATCAGGGTGCCAGTAGTAAACCAGGTGCGACGTTAGCCCGAGATACAAAGACCCGCTTCATCTTGACCGAGTCTGGGGGTTCGGGATGAACCGGTTGCGGGGATTCCCCTGAAGGAAATCACAAAAAAAACTGTTTATCTTGCCATTCAATGTCTCATTCCCGGCTGAGCACCAGCAAGTCATGGGTATGATGCGAACCCCAGACTGCGAACGAATCTATTTGCTTTACCTGGTGAAACCCTTTTTGTTTTCAACAAGGAGGGGGGGGTGCTGATTTTTGTGGGGGGTTGCTTTTGGATGGAGGAAACCCACAGCAGGCACCGATTGGCCGTCGCCTCGTATGTCCAAGTACTCAGCAAGTACTCAGAAATGTTCATCCCTTTCTATTGTGGGATCCCCCTGTCTTGCCGGTGTCCAGGCAATGAGTTGGAATGAACAAGCCAGTTTCCTTTAGGTTCATGCCCAAAACCGCCCTTCTGCGCGGTCCTCTTCCGTGCCCCCCTCAAGAAATCATCCCTGAACGGATCTCTCCAAACCTGACATAAGACTTGAATTCCAGATGTCACCTGCCAAGGGGGGGAGGGGGGGGGGCCGCTGAGCGGATTTCGACCGAAGCATGCAAACCCAGGTCTGGGGCGACCCGTGCCACCTTTCAGCCCTGTTTTGGGAGTTTGCCATAGCCCCAAGACCAACCCCACCAGGGGACATGCTTTTTGTCTAAAGCAGACCGGCAGTCTGACAAGTAGCTCGCCAGGTCCTATCTGGTCCGAGAAACCGTTTGGAAATCTGAAAAAGGAAGTGAAGAAAAAGTCTGTAACGGATTGTATCTTCAATCGCCAGTGCCTCGTTCGTCTCAGCGGGATCCAGGACCCCTGTCTTCTGCAAGTGGCACAGTACAATGGGGAAACTGTCATGGGCCGCCTGTTGTCTTCGGCTTTCTGCCTCAAGATGCTGCTTCTTTGCCGGGCTTGCGCCTCTGAATCTGCCCCAAGAGGCGTATCCACGCAAAAGGTACCACTTGACACGAGGCCTTGGCGTTGTCAGGCCAGCCGTGGAGGAACAGAAGCACTACCTTGGCGTCTCTGGGCTGCACATCCTCAGATGCCAAGCGTCAACCCCTCTGCGCATGGGTTTCTCTGCCAACGGATGTGCGTTTTTTTTTGAGGGTACCCTGTCCACGCTGCTTTTTTTCATGAAGCCAAACAAATACCACCATTGTCTGGATTCCCCTTTGACACATACCCAAATTGGATACGACCTGAGCCATGGTCACAGGTGTGGAAAACTTGGTGAGTCTTCGGTTTTCCTCCAAATGGTACTCAAGAAGTAGTACTCAAGAAGTGGTACTCAAGAAGTGGGAATTGCTCCTTTTCCTTCCATACCTATCTAAAAAGGGTACTCAAGAAAACGTCGACGGAAAACACACACACAAGAACAATCACATCGTCTGTTTTGCCGCACCTATCTTCCCGTACTCTCAGGTTTCAATTGTGGCTCAAGTAGAGGAAAGCAACACACCCTATGGGCAACTTAATATCATTTCATCATAGGTGAGGTCGTCCCTGCCGGTCGCAAAGTCATTCGGTACCGAAGGAATCCGAGCCGCAATAGCGACACGGAGGCGCCGGTCTGCGCCTCGGGGCTTTCCGGCATCGGTCGCTTTTCTTTAGTCCCAAATTCAAGAATTGCATCCCAGGACCTTCAGATAGCTCCCCAATCAGTGGAATGGCTCAAAACCCATAGGCAAACACCTCCCGCCGGCCTGCCTTCTGATGATGGGCGCAACAGTACAGCAAGGAGAGCAACACTGGCGGCAAGGAACAGTTTCAGCCCCATCCCGGCTGAGCCAGATGAACGCAGTGGTTGTATCAAGTTGGTATTTCCAGCTATGACTGCTGGGCGCAACGGATGCTTGCATGCCAATCAGAGCAGTGCGAGTATGTACCCCTTATACAAGTAGTAATCTCTATACCTCCCAACTTAAAGAATGAACATGTCAAATTCAGTGTTCTTGGGCAAAACTAGAAATTGCGAAATGCCCTACCCTCAGCCCAAATTGCTTGCGCGGTAGCGTTCCAATCCGTCACTGCTTGATTGAGACAGCTGATGCTCCTGAGGTCGCAGGCAACAAGCTCCGGGCATCAAACTAAGCTCTTTTCATGGAAGCCAGCACCTGGCATAACGAAACAAACGGAGCTGCCTCCTCATACCCTTTCTATGCCCTACAGGTCCCGCAAGTTGGGAACAAATTCCTCGCTGCATGCCAGTGGGCTTGCCTCCCAAGGAGATACGGACCCGTGAAATGGGGAATTTCTCGCTGGCTCCGAGCAAAGAGGCAGCGCCAACTCAGAGACATGTCCATTTTGCTCGGGCAACAAGGTGTCCAGCTTCTGTTGCAAGGCTTTTCCGGGGAACCTTGCTGCAGTGCCAAGAGCGGAAACTAAAACAATGCGGTGTCTTTTTGAGCGGTTGAATCTTTTTTGAGACGGGCTTTGAGGGGAAAGCCGAAAAGACACCGCCCAATTTTTGGGATACCACCGCCATGTTGTTGATACCACCACCCATTTTCGGAATACTCCCTGCAAATTTATACATGGGAACCAAAAGGGGGGTCCATATTGAATGGAGTTTCCTTTTCTGAATGGTGGATTTGCGCCTTCCATGTTCCCCCTTAGGGGAGTACCCTGACTTCTTCGGACCCCCCAACCCATTTGGGGTAACTCCCCCAGGCGCGCTTTTTCTCTCCGAAGGCGCAGCGGGCGACGCGCCGGTCGCAGCGATGGCCGCAGGTGCAGTCCTTTCCACGCCACAGCTCCAGGACCAGCACCTGGCAACTTGGATGTTCGACTTGGCCATGGGTCAAAATCCAAATCGTAATGCAGTGAACATGCCAATCCCCACTAAAATAGACTAAAATGGGTGGTGCACCTACCCCAAAATGATACCATTGGTTTTGACCCACAGCCACGTAAGGAAGTATTAACACAGGTTTTTTGCCTGGGGCACCTGGGGTCAGACCCGTTACCTGTGGTATAACATACTAGCTTGGCTGAACTAAGTACTTTGATGGGCCCGGATCCAAGTAGAACCCGTCCTAGACCATCCTAGTAGTAATTAGGAGGGCGTTCCCTCCAAGAGTGCTGAATCCCTCCATACTAAGCAAGCAGGGTTTATGAATCCGGGGTTCCCACTAACCACCCCAAGGGTTTACGTGGCTTACGTTCAACCCCAAACCTATTTTCTCGAGTCATCCTTTTAGTAAAGCGCAAAGGTACGAGATGCCTTGTTCCACAGCAGATGGGAAAATTAGTAAGCCTGGGCATTGACGAAAATTCAGTATGTTTCCCACGTCCCTCCGATATTGTTGACCGACCCTCCATGGGGAGCACCAACTCCTGCCTGCGCAAAGTGGATTTTGCTCATCCACAGGATAGGGAATAGGATTGGCGGCTCAGCCCCGGAAACTGTCCCCGGAACACACAAAGAAGGCCTAAGCAAAACGATGCGCTGACGGGCTGCGCAAATCGCGTTATCTTAGGGCATTGTGGTCCCCTTGCAAAAACCCCACCAAGCTCACAAAACAAACGGTGCTTCGAGGGATCTTCAAGGAATGGGGAACCCTGACCAAAGGTCATAGGACAACATCGGGGACCTAGGCAAAAGGTAAAAGCCACCCTGCAAGGGGAAGTCTTGAACAATCATGGGTAAAGTCATCATCAGGTGTGGGTTTTTGAGCTATGAGGATCGCATGCTAGATGTATAAGGCGCACTGTGTTTCGCTGGTTCTCTTTAAAAGGAATCTCACAACATGATGCAGTTTTACTGTTGTCTTTGTTTTGCCGGGGCATCTCTTGGCTCGCGCCTAATAAACATGCTTGGCACCATTGCATGCAATATCTTAGTAATGTGGTTGCGCGAAAAACTGTTTTGGGTGCACGTTGGTTATTGTGTTGTCTCTAGTTGGCTGTAAACAAATGAAGACTCACAAACGGGCATCTGGAGAACAACCTTTCTCCAACTGGCAAACGGCCAGCGGTCGCCAAGTTGCCCTTGGAAAGCGGAGAGTCATTGGGACCAAGCAACATTAACATTTCTGTGGGAACCACCTGCAAGCTGCTGGCTATCCTTTCGGGGCCATGACGCCAAAAAAAGCGGGGAAACCAAACTGGTGGTTGTCTGTTGTTTCCAAAACAAGGGGAACTGAGCCGGAACCAAAAGACACACCCAATTGATAACGTTGGTCGGCTGCGCCCTGCGTGAGCCTTTCCGCAGAGTGCTGACACCTCGGTGCTGCGACTGACATCCCCGAAGCCAAACAGATCTCGAGTGAGCCAAGTGGCTGTGATACCTCAGCTCCGACACTGGACTGACCGAAGCTTCCCTCTCATTGGTGGTTTGGAAATCTTCTGGGGCGGTTTCCCATTTACTCCCTGCAACACTGCAAGAACCAGCATTTCAATCCCCAAACCACCAATTCCACTAATTAAGGGTCACCTGATAGAACCCCACCAAAAAGAAGAAAGGGATTTTCCCCTGTAGATATGGGTGCTTCTGCAAACCTGGGACCTCAAGCAGGCCCTTCCCCACATGCCCGACCAACGGGCGGCAGTTGTCCGCCGGAATTTGGCAGGTCTGCCTCACTTGCCTCACTTGCCTCACCACGTGCTTCCAGTTACTGCTGCAGTAGGTACCAAACGGAAATCACAATTTACAAAGGATAAACGGTGGCTACCTGCTGTCCTCAGAATGTTAACCACAAATGAATTCCGGAGGATCATGCTAATCTTGCCAGTTCCGGATCCCCTTGAAGGAGAATGATCTTGGTTGAGGTCCCTCCGGATTAATCCGAGGTTGACATTACAGCAGACAACCCTTCGATCCATTTCCTCTTGGCTTTCAAAGGGTCGGTCCCTTGGCTACTCACTGCCGAGAGGCTTATGCCCCACGAAGACCAGCACGTCTCCCAAATGGAAGCGGTGTGCACGCAGGCGCCCTGGCGCCCAACTGGTGGCTCTGGCTATGAGAAATGAGCGTTGCTGACCGAAGTGGGCATCTCAGCCCTGCGACTCGTTTATCACCTTGGCTTGGAGCGAGGTGGGGAACCTCCCCTCCCTTAGCCCCTTCTCAACATTCAAAATTGAGGACCCCGATGCAAAGAAACACCTCCGAAGGGCCTTGTGCAACAAAACCATGTTGCTTGGCTGGAAATGGGTTTGTCTTTACTTCGGGGAACCCCCCCAAAAAATGTGGTTTTCTCTTGGCGCCTTAAACTAGGCTGAAGTTCGATGAGACCGCCACCCTCCAAAAAACGACACACCCAAACGAAGGTTTGCATGTGCTTCGAGGGCCCCTAAGGGCAACCAAAGCGAACCCATCGGTTTTGAGGAACCAGGCAACCCTGGGCCCCCGCCTCGCTCCAGCGTTTGGAAGGTGCCGCCCTCTGTGGGTTCGCGAAGCATTACCTTGGCCAAACAGTGCCAGACATGGCTGCTGGGCACAAGTCCACCGGTGCAAACTGAGTTTGAGGTCGTTTTGCCCCGAGGTGGGTTTGCACTCAAAGGTTGCGATTGGGCAGCACGAATGGTCAGTTTGACGATTTCAGTCTTCCCTATGTCCTTTTGGGGGCTTATGTGAACCTTGCAGCCAAACGGCATCCAAAGTGATGAGCGAGCCCACGTCGAAGTGGTGCCGACTCAGCTGCGAACACATGCCAGGGGAAATAAGCTTGCAACAGCAATCAAACAACAAAAGCGCAAATGCGCTCACAGCAGCTTTCTCACATGTTCATTTTTCCGCAATCTGAAAACAACCCGGTGCACGTTTCAAAACTCATGCAGCAGTGGCCAAGATACACAAATGAGCACGAAACGCTATGGAAGGACGCCTCCAAGGCACGTGGAAGGGTGGTCGCCTCAGCCTTCCAGTCAACTGGGAACTCCAAAACGCAACATCTCATTCGGCATGTTATACATTTACAAACACACGCACACACACAGCCCTATTATACATATAGGTACATGAGAACAATACACAATCGCACAATACAATGCAGTATATGTTGTCTGGCCCTTGAGAAGTGTATTCTCGGAAGCCGCCTATATTTCCGGGGGCCAGGCTCTGCTAAGCGCCCGCCAGGCCTAAGTGCCAGGCCAAAAGATCAGCCACGTGGGGTTCTGGACAAACCCACACCTAGTATGTAAGGAGTCTACCCAAAACCTATGGCAGGCACCACTTGGTATTTCTATAAAATCCACTGGCACCGGTTGGGAGGTGGCTTGTCCAAGTATTCATTGGCGGCAATCGGTGCAGGACCATCAAGCCTGTTTGGCGTATCCGATGGCGTTTGTGTCGTGCCCGTATGCTAAGTGGCCGATTTTTCAGTGCTCAAGCTGCTGAATCATGGGGCAACAATGCGCTAGGACCCCCGCCCCCAATGAAGCCATGGTCAGAACATGTGGTCCAGGTGAGTCCCCCAACGCCCCCAAAAGGACTATCGACCAAATGCGGCACCCCCTATCCCAATTCCGGGTGCACTTGCAACTGCGGGAAAGGCCTCCTATCCACCAACGTGGAGCCCACAAGAAGGTCCATGTTAAAGGAACAGCGTCTTCCCATCTTAGCGGACAGGCAATCTGTTTCCTCGAATCCACTCGTTCAGAAGTTCCGTGACCCTCCTCCAGGATCCCTGCCACATCTCGTGGAACTCGGCCACTCTCAGCCCGGCTCCTACCGCAAGAATGACCTCACCATACATGGGTGTGCCGTTTTTAGGGGACCCCCCCCTCAACAAAAAAAAAAGCTGAATAACTTGGTTAACCCCCCTGCAAAAGGTTAAACCTTTTGGGGGGTTAGTGGAAAACCCCTTGATTTCCCTAAAAGTTGAAGCCTAAAAGATCCAACCCAATAGCAGTCAAGAGAATTACAAATGGTGGCCTTCCTGTGGGCGCTCCCTCGAAGCCAACAAACATATAAACCAGAGATACGGGATGGCAGGCTGCTGTTGACTTGGGGTTTTAAGGGTTTGCCCCCTTATGCCCCCTTAAACTCACGCTATTCCCTCACAAATTCTACCACAAAGTGATGTCGTAACCGTGCAAAATGGAGATACAGGGAGCCCGGTTTAAACAAACACACACACACACACTGAGATGAACCTTCGCATCCGTCCTCCTCGAAGAAGTCCCCAGCCTTCCAGGCAGACTTTCGCATCCAGACTCCAACAGCCCAACAGCCGCACTTGACCCAATCCGGCAGATTGGCACACCGAAAGCAGCCCGCCATTTGAGGAATCTCTTACAGGGGAAGCTTCCCGCTTTTTGTGCCTTAGGCTAGCATTGCGCATTCAATCGCCAGTCATGTCCGAAGGGCGTGATCCCGTGTACAAAACCAGGACCATCTGGAGTTTACTGACTTCAGGTTGCACACGGCTTTTTCTCTGAGCCACTTCGCGCCGAAGGCCGAGTCGGGCCACAGGCAGGATGCCCATTTGGGACCCTTTCTATTGCCACTTCTGGCAAGAGAAACACGCACACAATCTAAGGGTCTATGTCATGCATAGAGGGCACCCGACTTGTAAATAATTCTATCCAGTGGTGCTTTCGCTTCGCTCTTGGGCGGTTTGCGTTGTGCTCTGTAATCTCCATGGGGCTCCAAGACGAAGCGCTAGCTTAGAGTCGTCAGGCGGCTGGGTTGCTTCGCTTTTGGCTCTCTCCAGCACCGTTATGCTTGGTGTGCACGCTCTCGTGCACCTGAGTTGGCCTGCCACAACCTGCGGACAGATTTGCCATCTGTATATGTATATCCGTCTTCTCGAGGTCCTGGACTGCAACCTGATCAAGAAGGCGCACTGAAACGAATGCATGAGCTTTTGCTTCACTTGCAGCACGTGGCAGGCACATGGGCCACTGTCAAGACTCCAAAGGTCTACTGAGCCCTGCAAGAGCATGGCTTGAGAATGCTTCCCCCTCCCATCTCCCCAACGCCGCGGATCTCTTTTTTGACCTATCTCCACTCGCTCTCTCGGCTCACTGGGAAACAGCGCTCCTTCATTGGCAAGCCGACTCGCAAGGTTTGGTCCAGCCAGGCTACAGAAACGACCGGGATGTGGTTTTGCATTGCAAAGTCGTACTTTGCACCCAGCGCCGCACCTGCGATGAGATGCGTATGGGCCTTTGTGAGCTCTTCAGTGCACTCAGCTCCAAGCAAATGTGCGGTGAAGGACACAGATTCTCGGGCGCGCAGGCGGCTGGTGCTCATCAGAAGTCCCTCCATGAGACGCGGGGCATAGCACCCGAACTCGGATTCCGGGAAGTCCTCCCAACCCGTTGGCATGAACCACAAAATACGAAAGCTTTTCTTTGGCAAAAGGGCCCACCCGCTCCATGAAAAGCTTAGACAAGCCCACCCACCCTCCACAAAAAAATGATGTCAACAGGGGGCCCACCCCCACCCCCCACCCCCGCCCCCCCCATGAAAGGTTTGAAAAAGCCCAGCGGCCCAAGAAGACATATGCTCGTTCAGGCTCCCTGGGTCCTCTTGGGTCCCCGCGATGCAGGAGCGGAAGGAGCTGAAGGGAGCCCCCGAGGACGCGCAGCCCAGGCGGTGCCTTGGTAGAAGCCGCCCTGCCACGCAGCTGGCGCGGAGCCAAGCCACTCTGAAGGCCTGGAGCTCGGGTGGGTGGGATGGTTGGGAGGGGTGGGTCAAAGTCGGAATCCGTTTTGGGCAACCCCCTCCCAACAAAAACGCATGGCTTTGGTCTTCCCGCCCACCAAAACAGGAGTACCAAGCCACCAAAAAAAAAAAGCACGCAAGAATCTACCAGACAGTTTTCCCATTTCCAGTATCTGAGTACAAATTCCCATGGCTTGTGTTCGCAAGCTCTCGGAACTTAAGTGCTCAACCTACTTCGTAAGTTGCAACCCGGGCTTTTCTGGCCACTAACCCCAGTTAGGCAAATAACCTTGGTTACCACCTACCTGACGCCGGCTGAGCACCCAAGAAGGCCGGGCCTTCTGCTGGTTGCGGCAGGAGGCGAAGCCGGAGCACCCCCCACCCCTGGGGCCGATCAGCACCACGTCTGCGGAGGAGGTGCTGTGCTGCACCGTGGCGCCGCACCACCGCGCCAGGCGGGCCAAAAGCGGCGCCTACCGACATTTGTGTGGTTTTTGTTCAGGCCTCGGTGGTGGGTTTTAAAGGGAGCAAGGGGAAACTAACCATTTTGCTTGGGGGTGCTGAAGGGAACCTGGGGGTGCTGAAGGGAACCAACAGCCAGCCGACCAGTTTTGGAGGCCCCCTATGTTGAGACAAACCTTTGGGTATGGCTCGTCATAGGATTTGGACCATAAATAGGGTAGCCAAACAGAGCATCCTCAATGCACCTGAAGCCTGCCCAGAACACACCAAATCAAAAGGCCGGCAAATTTCGAGCCACCCATCTTACCTCCACCCCACCCCACCCCCCCGGTACATGGACCCCACCGAATGGATTCGTGATGATTCGTGAATTCGGGAGCCTGGTCGCGCAGCAAAAGCGCCACACGCTTGCCTTTGAGCAAAGTCCGGCGGGTCACATAGCCCTGGCGCCCAAAGAGCTGCAGTTCCTCCTTGAGCTTCAGCGCCTCAGACGTGGACAAGATGGAGCTGATCTCCTCAGCGTACCCACATGGAGCGGGATCTGGTCTCCTTCAGTCTCCCTGGTCTTCCTTGGGTGAGGCTACGCCCCAAAAAGTGGCGGAGGGAGCAAGGAAGCCCTGCGACATCTTGCGACTTAGGGCATCCAACGGAGTGGAGGGAATCCACCCTGAAAACTGAAAGGCTAAATTCCGAAGGGGATGGCTAAAAACCACCAAGCTACCATGGTTTTGTGGTTGTGGTTCACTTGCGAGGTCTTCGTTGCATCCGCCGCTGTGACGCTTTCCGACGCCGAAACCCAGGGCCGGTCCTGCAGGCGGTGCAGCCACTGGTCCGCCGCATCCAGGACGCTTTGCAGAAACTTACAGGCCCCGGAGCTGCGCAGCAACTCCTCACTTGCACAAAGCACCTGGAAATGAAGGAGCCATTGGGACCTTGACCAGCAAAATGGGCCACACATGTAAAAAGTGGCAAAAAAAAAAGAAGGTAAACACGCGCGGGAGAAAAACAAAAAAAACATGGCCAAAAGGAATAAACAAATGGGCCAAAAGGGGGCAACAGTGATTCTATTTGTTGGGACCTTGTTACTAACACAGGAAAGAAGGGAGAACGCGTGGGAACGACCCAAGCTCAAAAGGTCGATTCGCTTTGAGACGCTTTGTCTGGCAACAGCGATGCCACCAGACGCCAGGTCTCCACCGGCAAACGGGCCGCCCCGTCCGCGCAGGTCATCCATGGAAGGCGCCCGGGCGGCGAAAGCGATTCGGCGAGCCGGTTCAACGGGGGAGGTTTTAGGCCGTGTTGGCTGTGTCGGCATTCTCAGCTAAATCTGGTGTGTGTGGTTGTGGTTGCTTTATTGCTAATACTATGCTGTTCTAGTTGTGTATATATATATATATATTTCTATACTCATGTGTGTGATGCACATGTTTCTTTATTCCCCCGCTCCATGCCTCAAGAAGCGTATTATCTTCCTGAGAGGTGTGTTGGTCCTGGATGCTCAATTGGCGCTTGCTTGCAGTGCACATGCCTGACTGATCATAAAACAGCTGCGAGACGGATCGCATCTCAGGATTGCACCTTGCTCAGGCCAGACTGTCCCTAGCCGGATGCCTTCCGATTTGCAGCCAGGAAGCAGGTCGCAAATCCGGGCGCGAGTCACATCGTCATGCCTCAGCCACCGTGTGACACACACACACACACATGCGGCGGATTTAACAAGCACACCACATGAAGCAATACTTGTATATGGGAAGAAAGTAGGGACAGCCGACCCCGCAACTGGTCATGTTCCTTTTCTTCCCTTTAAAGCACCTCCCAACACGGGTACCGAGACGGACCGAGACTCAAAAAAAAAGCATACCCACTTGAAGCCAGGCACTTGCCTCATGGCCTCGAAGAGCCAGCCAGTGGGTCAGCTTTATCGAATCCTGAGACTTGTGTTTTTCTCTTTTTTGCGCGCGAAATGCAACAAACAAGACTGCGATGTGCACTTGCATGTTTCTCGGTGGGAGGGTATAATGAACAATTACAACCATAAGGTCCAAGCCAACCAAAACTCTTCCCAAAGCCCCTTTCCGTTCTTTAGATTTGCTTGCTTTAATTGAGTCTTCCTGGATATGTTGCACTCAAGTACAACATAACATGCATTCATTATGCAAATGCAGAACGCCCCTTGAACAGGGCAACACATCATGTTTAATCCTGGATGGATTTTGACCCAACATTTCTTCATCGTGCGTTTGATTCCTTTAGCCCGAAAGGAGAATGGGAAATGAGTCACTCCAATTGCCTCCTTCCAATAAGGAATTGGATAGCCCAACGTCTGACCAATTCGAACGGGACAGCCTCCACGCGGCGGCGAACAAGGCGCCGCAAGCGAGGTCCGGTTTGGGCGAGGCGCCTGAAGCCAAGGGAATGGATGGCTGTTTGATTCTTCTGATTTTTGGATTTTTGGGGTGGCAAGAAAAAGGGGAAGAGGAAGAGAATGAGCTCAATGTGTTCAATCAAATATCCGCTGGAAAACTTTGACGACTGCAATGGGGGCTGATGAAGCACAGCCAGCGCATGCCATGAAAAGGCCTTGGATGCGCCCAGAATGGCGGCGCTGGCCATTCCGCAGATCGGGATCGGTCCTTCTGGGCCGAAAGGTCTCTGGCTCACCGCCCGTCCGCCCAATGGGCCATCTGAAGACAAGAGGTGTCACGGCCCACAAGCGCCTGTTTGACCCTGCTATCTCACAAGATCTCTCGCTGTTTGTCTCATGTTCCTTCAGTTTAAATTCATTTCTCCTTCTCTTTTGTATCTTTCTCTTTCTCTTTTCCCTCTCCTTCTCCTTCTCCTTCTCTGTCTCTTTCTCTGTCTCTCTGTCTCTCTCACTCTCTGTCTCCAGACATGGTGGTCCATCATGTGCTTGCCTGACCCTGCGTGAAAAACCATCTGTGACTGGTGGCTCAGCCAGTGATTGCCCCCTCTCAGTCACCACGGATGCCGCCCAAGAAACCCTGTGAATGGCCTCGCAAAAATGCAACCCTTTATTGATCCATAGGTAAAAACAAACCCTGTTGCTAGCCCCCTTACCTTGCTGCATTTTCGGCGAGTGTCCTCATCACCCCTTGGGCAAGCGCCGCGCAGCAGCGAACTACACTCGAGGCGCTGTGGCCTTCTGAGGCCCGAATTGCCGCATGGAGCATCACGGCGGATGAATTGGAGCGGAGGAGGGCCAACGGAAATTCCCAGGACCCGGACCTCTCACAAAGGGTAGCAATCGTGTTGAGCATGATGCTCACTTCCAGGAAACGCTCATGAGCATCCGCCATCAAACGCAGGCCACATTGCCATCGCGCATCCTGGACCGTACAAGAAAAAGAAACAATGAGAGCTCTGAGCTGTCCTTCTCGCACACACTGGCCGCGGCTCCGTACATGACTGCGTCACCCTTGACGTCGCCATGTAGTAGCTGCAATGCCTGGCCGCAAACCGCTTTGATCGCTTTGTAGGCATCCGCTCAGCTCCCCCTCAACTTCCCGAAGCAGGCGCCGGGCGCCTGCTGCCATTGCGCCTGCCTTGGGCAAGCCCCACAGCACCAAGGCACTTGAAGTCTTTGCAAGGTGATGAGCCGCAGTCCATTTAGATCATAACAAAATCTCCAAATCCGGGACGGGAAGCAAAGCTCTAGCAGCTAGCAGTCGGATCAAACGCAGCGAAGCCACTGGCAGGCCGCAATGGATGTGCTGCAAAGGATCTGGGACCTGCCCTGCCTTGGCCGCAATAAAAGCCACGCGCATTGATCGATGTGGAAAAAGTCTCCAAAACCGGACCAAGACTAAAGCCTGGGATTTTGACACCTGTGCGTGAATCTTGCCAAATTGCAGCCCTTTGGTGAGAATCATTCTGCTTCACACGTGCGTGCAGCCACAAACCTTGTTGGAGGGTGCTCCCAAGTTCATAGTCAATTTGCTTGCCTCAAATATGTGTCTTCACCAAACAACTGGCTGAACACCAAACAATGGGCATGCCTCCAATTGGTTTTTTCACCAAACAACTGGCTGACCTCCCCTTGGGTTTCCCCTTCCCCGAAGATGCCCTCGCCCCACATCTGCACCAGGCGTCCCCAGGCGGGCAGCGCGCCCCTTCACTGCCAGCGCCTCCCTCCACCGCGTGGAGGCCGCCAGGCAGCTCCAGGTGACCAGGTCCTCGGGTGAGTCAACTCTTTGGGTGATTGTTCCCTCAGATGCCCTGTGGCTATGCAAAAAAGGGCATATGTTTTTGATATTTTTTGACTTTGAAGGGGACCCCTTCCCAAAACAAAGAAAAAAAGGCACCACTGGGCAACTGGGTTTCAGTTGTTTCATAGGAAAAGCCGTGGGAAAAACCACCTTGAGGGGCGGCAACCAAATCCGTGGTTCGGGCTGAGTTTGAGCACTCGCATGCCGTAAGCCTGGGACGTGGACCATGTGCCCTCGCGCCATCGATATCAAACAATGGAACCCTGCAATTACTCTAGACAAGTTCACCCAATATGGAGAAGGGGGGTCCGCGCACCAGAGGAGATTCCGCTCGAAATGTTCGGGCTGCGTGTTAGTCTACATTCTAAGAAAAAAACCCTTGTGCTTGCAGAGGAACTCCTGTAGCTGGTTCCTATGATGCATGGCCCCGTTGTGCAATAAGATCCTTAGAGTCATACGAAATTCGAAGGCAGCCAAACCCGTGACCAACGACACTGCACATCACGACTATCTAGAATGGGACTTGCAAAACGAGAAGCTCTTTGTGGCAGGACTTGGGCGCCACTTGGTCAAAACCCCTTTGGCCATGGCTCCCCGAGTGAGCCTTTCAATGAATGCCAATCCGAGCTCGTCATTCAGAAGCCTCCCCAGACCTTGCCGCTTGCTGGCCAGCTGCTGGCCGGACTCTCTCCTCCATGCGAACCAAGTGGAAGGCCACCGACCACTCGCACGCATCCACCGCGATGTTGAAGTTGCTGCAGGTGGCCTTTGGACTCACAACAGCAACCAGGCCGAAGCAAGCAAAAGCCCCAAGCCCCAAGCCCCACGCCTGAAAAAAGTGCCGAAACCACCGGAAGCCCATATAACTCCAACTTCTCCCAAGGGGAAGCGGAAAAATCACAATGGTTCCTGGTGGCCCCCGGGTGCGATATCGGCCGCGCCTCCAGCGCTCTCTGCTGCATGTGGTCCAGCAGGAGTAAGGCAAATGACCAGTCTTGAGCAATAGATGCTGACCCATAGATCGCCGCATCTGGCTGGACAGAGGCTATCGCCAAAGCCCTGAACACCTTGGAATGCACGGGCACCTCGCGCGTTAGAAGGAAGCTCTCTCTGAGTGGCGCACTTCCTGTGATTGCCGCCATTTTGCTTCAGCTGCCCATGCTCCAAGAACAGCCTCAAGCTACATCAGGCATCAAGTCTCGCGAGTCTCGTGGCTGGCCTCCAAACTGCTTCCAAAAACTTGAGCCTCGAATTCTTCCCCAAAAGTTTTCCATCAAACGAATGATCTGACGCAATCGGCTCTGCCCTTGCTGCACCTGGCCGGCTTTCCCAAGTTTGCAACAGGCTTCCCGGCTCCAAAGACGGCAGCAGAAGGAGTCCGCCACCTGCAGCCACTGGTCGGTTTTGGCAAACACAGCAAGTTGGCCGGGAGAAAACCGCGCCATGACAAGGCACCCATCCAGATCCATGATGTCTTTTATGGCTGCGCCAAAGCGGGCAATCTCCATTCCCTGGAGGTATCGCAGAAAGTGGCCACTCCCAGGAAGAACCACGGCTTGGTGCACCAGCACTCTCCCTCTCCTCACTTCCTGATTTTACGTTGCCATGTCCAAGTTGCGCCTTCCCAAAAAGCCTCAAACTCCTCAAGTCCAGGAATCAGAGTGTGAGACTCCGAGAGAAACTCGGAAGTTTGCCACAAGGGCTACCTAAAACCAAGAACTTACCACGGCCGGGCCATCCCTTGAAACGGCCAACCCTGTTGATTGCCCCCTTGAAAGGCGCCCAGGACCAAGACCTGGTGGCTTCAAGTCTCCACCAGGTCTTTTTGGGGCAATTCAGACACCAATGGCCAGCCACGTGGAACAAAGACACCAAACCCATGTGGGTCTCAAAGGGCTAAGGGAAACTCCCCCCCCCAGCGCCTGCGGCTCCGCAGGTCTGCAAGGAGCACTTCACACCGCTGCCACCGCCCACGCATTGCCTGCCAGTGTCGTTTGCTGGGGCGGTTCTTGAGCTTCTTGAGGCGGTTTGCCCCCCTTTGTTTGGCGGTGTTTGAGATGGTTCCCCATTTTGCAGTTGGGGTTCTCGTGTGGTTCGGTGTCACCAACCCAGGTATGGGGCTTTGGTGGGTTCTGGCTGCCAGAACCCAAAAAGACTGCTTGCAAGGCCAGCATGAAAAACCGCCCCCGACAACTGCTGTTTCCCAGTACCGTCCATAACGCGGGTTGAAGGGTGCCGATCTATACCTCTAAAAAACACAAATGCCAGTAAATTCCCCCAAAAGCTCGCCATGTGCAACCAAGCAACTGCCACTAGTGCGCTGGAGCCATGCGCAGTCCTCGCTCTAAGTGGCACTTTCAACCACCGCGCATGAAAATGGGGCACAATCACCCTGTAAAACCGTAAAATACATAATTACATGACGTTGATATATGTATATATATATATACATATATATATATACATACATATATATACATATAATTGTATATATATACATATATATATATATATCTTTTTCCCAATGGGGGGGGGCCGTGGTTCGGAGGCAAACAAAACCTCTGAAAGCCGGCGACTGCATCTGCCGAGCATCGGGACTGCCACTTCGCGCAGTGCACGCGCCAGCGCCAAAGAGCGGTCCCAGGCTGTCGCGGAGCCGACCGCCGCACCTGCGGAGATCGCGGGCCAATGGGAAACTCTGTTTGGGGATTGCTCTCAACGGGAAGCCAAAGGAAGCCACTAGTTTGGGGGGTTCCCCTTAGACAAGCCCATGAGGCCCATGTCATACTTCGGAGGGCGAATCGTACTTTGGGCGTAGCCCCGTGCGAGTGGGGAAGGACACTTCGTTTCAGGCGGATCCCTCTGATTCGCATCCGAGGTTGGAATTGCCACGTCCCAAGGAGCCTTGGGCGATGCCGCGTCCTGGCTGAGAAACTGCGCAAGGAACGAGTTGGACCCTGGGAGGAGTGGGGGATCCTGCAAGATGGTTTGCCCAAAACCCTAGGGCACGAGCGCGTTGCGACCCCCACTTTACCACCAACATAGGGTTGAGAACCTTACTGTCAGGGATTTGTCCGGCAAAGGGGAAGGGGGAGATCTCAGCAGTGCGCAAATCTTATTGACTTTGCGG